GGTGTGATTTGTAATATATTTAAATGGGGAAAGCGGCTCTAAGTCTAAGTAAGGAAAGGGTAATGTAGCTTTACGGGCCTATTAAAAATTAGATTTAGTAAAAAACATATACGAATATGGAAGTCTTCCTATCAGCTTAAAGTCTTTTAATTACTATCTTCTTCTCCAAAAATATATTGGTACCCTATACCGCCCTAAGTCGTGATTGACCTCGACCCAAAGTATTATAAATCAGTTATTTATGTTGTGTTTTTTATTATTTCAACTTCACGAGCTTTTGATGCTATATGTAGATTTATTGAGAATTTTATAAATGATATATAATATTGATTGAAACTCAGAAAAGTTTTTCATTATATACTTTTAAATTAAATATTGAGAAATATTGATGAATAAAATGGATATTTTCATTTTCCGTATTTTCACTGCTGTGAAGCATATTTTCCATATTTTCACAGGTGTCTTGCTGGGCTTAATTCAGCCAATATACAAAATTTAAGGGAAATTCTTTTTAAATGTGATGTCAGAAAAGAGAAAAATGTATATAATAAACAGAAAATTCAAGTTCTTTCTATAAATACAGGATTTATTTTCATCTTGTGGTATGAAAAATATTATATATAACTCGTGGCTAACGTCACTCATAAAATATTTATTTTCATACCACTCGATGAAAATAAATCCTGTATTTATAGTAAAAACTTGAATATCCTCTATATATGTTTATTAAATAGTATGATTTGAAAATGTACATGAAATTATCTGTTGCAATTGTTTTTTATTGCAAATATTCAGATATCATTACTTCACTAAGATAGAATCGTGAATATCTTTTGTTTGCATGTGGCGTTTTTGTGTCATCTTTCTTACGCATGTTTTTTGCATGTTTCAGCGTAAAATCTTTAAAAATCAAAGGGTTTTCTTTACTTGATAGACATAAAATAAATAAATAAAATAAAAATAATTAAATAGAAAAAAAATATATATTTTTATTAAATGTTGGCTATGTGAATAAGCTTAAATATTTCATATAAAAATGAGAAAAAAAATCCACATTTTCACTTGCGGATATTACAGTTTTTTACTTCTCAAAGCAAACTAAAACCCTTTCAATATCTTCCATGATGGATCATATGGGGTGTCCTTTCTACTCTATAAATGTATTGAAATTCGGGAGAAACCCTGGTGTGAAAGATGGCCGTTGGCACAATATGCACTTAAAAATACGAATTGCTCAGCAACATTCATGAGAGTTCGTAGATGACTCTACGAAATACCAGTTTAGCCTTTTTAAAAATGTTTGCGGTTATTAAATATTACTAAAACGCCTCCTTATGGACTTATTCTGAAAAGTTACGCACTATTTTAACGTAAGTTTAAGAAAAAACTTACGAACGTTTTGTGAAACACACTTACGATTTACGTAAGCGTAAAGATACGAAAATACTTACGAAATACTTACCCAATGTTAGTAAAACGCTGCCAGGTGCTATGAAAATCACGTCATATCTGACGCACAATTTGGTTTAAGAAGGGGTCGTTCAAATACTGATGCTGTTTTATTTTACACTCTCTCATACAAAAAATTATAAATGACAATAACAGATTATATTGCAGTTTTATTGATTTAAAACGTTGCTTTGATTCAATTTATAGAAATGCTCTTTGGTCGAAGCTTTACAAAAGTGGGGTGAATGGGAAAACGTAACCTATAATACGAAATACGTACCAGTATGTAAAATCGTGTGTTAAGTCTTGTAATAGTTATTCTGATTTTTCTGATATTTGAATAGAATAAGATAAACAAGATCAACAAGGAAAGGCGGCGTTCAATGAACGCAACCCCCATACGACCCAGCAACAAGAACCAGTGGCAAGGAACCCAGGCGGAGCCTAAACAAAAACAGGACAGGGCACAAGACAGAGCACGGACAGATTAATCACTAAATGATAAATAATTTGTAACTGATAAGGAATTCAAAGAAAACAAATAAATGATTGAATAATAGGCCAACAAAGTCAAAGGGCACAGGGAAAGTGGACAGGAGACCGGGGGAAGGGGGGGGGGGGGAGTTTTATCAAAGAAATAGGTCTAAGACAAGGGGAGATAATTTCGCAAGTTATGTTTTCTTCATTAGTAGAAGATTTGGACCTGTTTTTACCTAATTTCATTTCAGCAGAGATTGATTGATGAATTTGGGCAGGATTGTAAAAGAGTTTTGGAGAGAAGTAGTTCTCTATTAGTTTATAAAAAATATTAAAGATTCGTTTGTTTTTGGACCATAATTAGATAAGATAACTTTTACAACACTACGTTTTTCAGCCCATAGTCTTCGTATCAAAACTGAAAGGTTCGCAAATAATCAAATATATAGAGATCAATGTTATTGTTAAATCTGTAACTTAAACGTAATTTAAGATGAATACCATTTTGTTCTTGTTTGTGCACAATACAATGTAATTCGTCAAAAATATATAAAGAAATTTTACAGACAAAAAAAACAAGAATGTTTAAATTTGTTAACCTTCTAATTGTCAAAATGTTTCAGAATTACTAACGTTTAGCAAATATATTTCCGACGCTTTTAAAATTAGAAATCAAATTCTTTCAAATGTGCCAATGTAACTGTTTGAATTATGGTAATTCATTTTCAATGATATTATATTCACATTTTTATGATTCCCTTTTCGAACTGTTAAGGTATTATGTTATAGTTCCTACTTTCCCTTTAAGTATCTGTTGAATTCAAACATGATCACATAATGCAAAAATGTGTGTTTTTCTTTGTTCTTAATCTTTAACATGCAATTACATGTTGCTTTTTTTTCATGATATAACGTATGCATGTTGTTTCTTAATGAAAATATTAGTTCATCCATTATTGTGTTATACATAATTATTTCATTCTCTTTTATCCCATATGTATTGTTCAATATTATATCATTTATATGTATTATTCATTGTTAAACACTAGAAACTGTTCAGTTTACGTGTAATAAAATCTGTTCTGTTCTGTTAATTTATAATTTGTACTTGTAAGTGATTATAATTAACTGTCTTTTCAACGGTTAAATATTACATGTACGAATGTAAAAACATAATGGCAGCAGAACCATGTTACTCGAATTTCGTTTCTCTCGAAGTAAAATGCCCAGTCCTTTGAAATTCAAAGTGATGCATACACACTTTTTATTATTATATGCCCGAAAGGGCATATTATGTTATACCCCCTGGCGTCCGTCTGTCTGTCTGTCCGTCCGTCCGTCCGTACGTTCGTCCGTCCGTTAGCAATTTGGTTTCCGGAGCATAACTTAAGTTCCATTTGGCCCACTATGTTAAAACTTCATAGGATGATTGTCCATATTGGGTAGAAGACCCCTATTGATTTTGGGGTCAGAAGGTCAAAGGTCAAGGTCACTATTACCTTAAAACTGAAAACGGTTTCCGGAGCATAACTTAAGTTCCATTCGACCCACAATGTTCAAACTTCATAGGATGATTGTCCATATTGGGCAGAAGACCCCTATTGATTTTGGGATCACAAGGTCAAAGGTCAAGGTCACTATGACCTTGATACTGAAAACAGTTTCCGGAGCATAACTTAAGTTCCAATTGGCCCACAATGCTCAAACTTCATAGGATGATTGTCCATATTGGGTAGAAGACCCCTATTGATTTTGGGGTCAAAAGGTCAAAGGTCAAGGTCACTATTACCTTATAACTGAAAACAGTTTCTAGAGCATAACTTAAGTTCCATTCGACCCACAATGTTCAAACTTCATAGGATGATTGTCCATATTGGGTAGAAGACCCCTATTGATTTTGGGGTCAAAAGGTCAAAGGTCAAGGTCACTATTACCTTATAACTGAAAACAGTTTCCAGAGCATAACTTAAGTTCCATTCGATTCACACTGTTCAAACTTCATAGGATGATTGTCCATATTGGGTAGAAGACTCCTATTGATTTTGGGGTTACAAGATCGAAGGTGAAAGTCACTATTACATTGATACTGAAAAATATGTTTCCGTGCATAACTTAAGTTCCATTTGACCCACAATGTTCAAACTTCATAGGATGATTGTCCATATTGGGTAGAAGACCCCGGTTGATTTTGGGGTCAAAAGGTCAAAGGTGAAGGTCCCTATTACCTTGATACTGAAAACAGTTGCCGGAGCATATGTTAAGTTCCATTTGGCCCACAATGTTCAAACTTCATAGGATGATTGTCCATATTGGGTAGAAGACCCCTATTGATTTTGGGGTCAAAAGGTCAACGGTTAAGGTCATCCTTACTAAAAAAAAATACTTTCGGGCATATAATGCTCCGCCTAGCGGTGCTCTTGTTTTCATTTAGATCGTTATTGACAAGACAAAGAATGTTTTCTGATATGCATAACCTTGTTTTACATTTGTTTATTTTATGATCCGTTTAGGTAATGAGTTCTTTGTTTGATAAAAAATCACAATACAATACTACTGCAGTATTCGTTTTCTATGCTAATGCTACCTTGCTGAAGCATTGTTTTTAAATGGCTGAAACTATTTTTATTCTTGCACTTATGGTTAAACTATGCTTAAACTTTAAATATTATCAATTATTATGTTAATTACTAGTTATGATCTTTAAGCTTATTCTTACTCTAACGTTATGCTATTTTTGTTATCTTTTTAATATTTTCACGATTTTCAGCACATGTTATTTCAAAAGATTGTTACTGTAATATTTTTATGAAGCGAACTTTACGAAACACAACAAAGAACGTTCGTTGAGATATTCTTGGATAATTAAAACGATTTAAAGATCTGTCTATCATTAAATATTCAACGGAATTGTATCCTTCCGTATATTTGCAGTCACTCAAGAATTTCTTGAAAGCGAAAATTGTAAATTTATAAGACACACTATAATCTATAGGCTTCAATTTAACCTTGATACTGACCAGTGTTATCACTTTATTAAAAAAGCGATTGCAATAACAATATGTTCAATCTTCCAGGCAGGTATAGAAGGCAGAAGATTAACTATAGCTTTAGAACCGGAGTCTGCGTCGATATACTGTCGCCATCAAAATATATCAGCAGGGAACAAAGAAACAGGAGACAAAGATATTTCTTGCTTTAAAGAAGGAACTAGATACATGGTCATTGATGCAGGAGGTATTAGAAACAATAGGGTCACGATTTTCTTGGTTCTTTAACTTTTTCTAGACAAGGTCTTTATGTTTTTGGTACTGAGCCATTTTATTGGTTTTCCATGGCCAAAGGTTGATGTCAATTGCGAAATTGTATTAAGGTTAAAATCAATCAATCGATAATGAATCGGAATATATGCAGTAAAATGTTCTCATATTCAAATGTCACGAAAGTGATTTTGAATCAACATAAACAATTCTAAAATTTAAGTGCAAGGAAAGAAATAATCCGAAATTCTGGCACATTTTTATTTGAACAAACCGTGTGACTATTTGTTTATGCTCACTGTCATTCATCAATTTTGTATGTAAGCTTTCTGGTTATTGTCAAAAATATCACTGAATAAGTTTATATAAAACTGATGCCATTTCTGACTCTTAGCTGATTTCACGAATACAATAACATCAGAATCTTAGACCTTGATCATTTTTAGAGAAGTCTTTTTTGTTCGTTTCTCTATTTTCCCCCGAATTTAATACACATTTTTCATATTTAGACGGTTGTAAAGTCGATGACTTCTAATCCAGTTACCTCTCTGGCGTGGGTTCGATCCCTGGAGATGCTTTGGTAGTTTAGCGGGGAGGGAGGTAGTCTAGTACTGGTGTAACTCTCCAGGAACGATGGTTAGGAAACTACCCGCCTATATGACTGAATTACTGTTGGGAAAAGGCGTTAAATGACACAAACAAACAAACAAAATTTAGACGGTTGATCTACTTTATTTTTCCCTATTTATAAAAATCGACACGCAGAAAGACGCGTGTGTAAATATGTTATGCGCTTCCTTTTTTATGCACGGCATAGAAACTGCTGCAATATATACAAACCTTTTTTAGTTGATTATCATTCACGAGAAACGTGATACATTCCTGAAAATCACAATTTCTCAAAGCAAGACGGTATCAGGCTGTTTAAAGAAAGAAAAAGCAATCTTCCCGTTAATTGCGAATGTAAAACATCTATATGACGCAAAACAATTGTTATCCTGCAACTGGCCGTAGCGGGGAATATGCTAAATTTTAATGTGTTCAAGATCTACGTTCTTTGAAAGTTTTTTTTTCAACTATATTTCTTTCAAAATAGAGCTGCTATCATGCATACAGGAAAAAATATACATATTATGAAAGGTCCAAATTTTTAAAGGGCTATTGTCATTTCAAAATGATTTGTGCAGAATATTGACTTATGAGTAATTGAATATCTGCACTCCTATCGTTTATATCAAACATAACGAAGACGCTATCATGCATATAAACAAAGCCTGTTTTGGTTTCATTGTCACATTCAAAAGATTTACCACGTCTTGTTATAGTATTTAAATTGAACAAGTTCCAATTGTAATATTTTATATTTATGTGTCTCATTTTAGGTGGAACAGTTGATATAACAATTCATGAAGTCTGTGAGAATGGTAAAATAAAAGAAGTACATGCTGCCTGTGGGGGAGATTGGGGTGGAACATCTGTTGACAAGGAATTTGAAGCTGTAATTCTTGAATTGGTAGGTACGCAGCTCTTTCAACGTTTCAAGAATTGAAAACATGGAAGATAACCTCGAATTTTGGAGAAACTTTTGAAGTGAAAAAAAGAGTAATTGCACCATCAAGCAATCGAGCAACCACAATTCCCATCCTTTATCTTTTATTGAAACATTCAAAAGATACAACAAATAAAAACTTGACGGAAGCTATTTCCAAATCACAATATGCTAAAGATATCGAGATAAAGTTTCGGCAACAAAATGGCAATTTCAGCAAACATGATGAAGTCATTTTTTTCGACAATTCTATAAACATTATCATACCGTTTGTTTAGAACAATACTTAAAAGTAAACCTGTCGCAGCAATTCTCATTGGTTGGTGGATACTCAGAGTCCGTTTTGCTGCAAGAAGCCGTGAAAACCAATTTTCCGAAAATTGAGATTGTTGTCCCGGAAGAAACCTCATACACCGTTATGAGAGGACGGGTTATATTTGGCTTCATACCGACAATTATATCAAAACGTGTCTTGAAGTATACATATGGCGTGCGAGTGACAAATAATTTTTTTTAAAGGGAAAACACCCAGAGAGCAAACGCATACATTCAGATGCTGGTGACCAATGTAGTGATGTATTTGACAAGCATGTTGAGAAAGACCAGGTAGTCAATGTTGGTGAGACACAGGTTTGGAGTGTTTATTCTCCTTTGTACAAGACACAAAAATATGCAACCATATCAGTTTATGCTTCTGAGAAGTCAAAACCCAGAAATATACGGACCAAGACTGTGATTTCGTTGGAATGATGACTGTAGATTTGAGCGACGCCGGTGAACTTGACCGGAAATTGAAGTAGCACTTTCATTTAGCTGTACAGAAATCGTTATTGCAGCTAAAGAAATAAAAACGGGCAAAGAAACACACGCAACCATTGATTTTTCTCGGATAGACAGTAACAGTTTGTTGTTTAGACAACCTTTACAATATTTTGTGTATACATGTATAACTTTTTTAACGAACAAATTAAAAATCGAGTGCTTTAATATGTTTATACGGACTATTTAATCGATTGCTTTTTCCAGTTATGCATGAGATAAAACAACAATGATAACTGCTGAAATTAATGGAGTCAGTATTCACTAAGGGCCCAGAAATTACAACACTAAACAGAAGGATTACAAGCTGCGACACAACATTTAACACCTGGTTTTTCGAAACCTGACATTTGCAGCACATGCAACTATAAAACTTAAAATAAAAAAATTATCATTACATCTCCATTTAGGTTTTTAAAGTTTTAAGAAAATGAATGTTTGGAAAAGGTCCTTAAAAATATGAGAAAGAATTTGGTTAAAATTAGAAGACTGTAATGTCACAATGATTTTGAATCATTTAATACACTTGTTAACTATATACAGGAACAAAATTAAAACTGATTATGAGTGTCAGTGTGACGGTAATGAGTTTGCGAACTGGGACTGAATAGAAAACTCATTAATCATTTCCGGCCCGCTGAGCACGAGCACTTGCAAATAACTAGAACAATGACGTCACATTTTACGTCATCAAACAATTATTTATTTGTGGGCCGATTATTTCTTCCCGGTCCTACTCTACTGTAAAAATTAATCTCTTCTTTATACACGTTAGACGACGGGTCTGAAGGTTGATACTCAGACCTGAAATGAATAATACTCTAAGGCTGATAATTAATAACCTTCCGCCCTAAATCGAACGTGTATTTACCTCTAAATAAAGAAATGTATCTTATATTAATATTCTTAACTATTGTTACGGAAGAATATGATCAGCTGTACCGTAAATATCTATTGTTAGAGCTGTTTATGATTCTATCCCGGTGATTTATTTATAGAAAAATACTAATTTACCAATCGTTATAAGCTAATTGTAATGATCAGCTTCAGACCGATTTTTTGTAACAGATAATTTTTTTCCAGTTTAATGAGTAATTTCGGTTGGAGAAGTACTGAAATGTAACTTAAGGTACTGTTTTAAGACAATTAACTATATTAGGGAAACTTTTTTGTTTATCTTTAATTGTTTTGTAATTTCTTCAGTTGATTATCACATCTCTCTAAACGATGTCATACACTTTTTTTTTTACAAAACGTCATTTATTTTCACTAGATACGTTTGATTTTTACACGATACTAAATGAATTTTCTTTTTCAGCATCTTATTGTTTTCTCTTTTATATTTGAACGATTCTGCTTAATCAGAATGTATATAACGATATTATTACATAGAATCATTTTATTGGTACGTCTGCTTTTATATTTGATTACCAATGTTATGCTTATTGATAAGCTTTCTTTGTTCTTCGCCTTTGCACTGGCCTTCCGTGCTGACATTTGGCAATGAGACACAACAGGTAATATAAGATTTTTATGCGACTCATTCTGTCAAAGTATTATACGGCTTAATAAGGTTTTACATTTGCCTAAAAAGAATAATAGGAATGGCCACCTAAAGGCATATTGTTAGAATATTTGATCTATCCGTTCATGTGTGATATCCAGGTCATAAAGCTTAGGTCAAACTAAGAGATCGTTGAAAAAGCATTGAATATAACCAGGCATTAAAATATTACCTTTATGAGACCAAGTGTTACGCCAAGCAATAAGCCCTTGAAAAGCAAAGGTCATAGTCACAGGCAGAGGTCAAAGATCAGATAAAACAAATTTATGTATGTATTCATTATTTAGTCATCATGTACTGAGACTACATATTTCACCACAATATGATTGGATTCCGTTGGAAAAGAAATGAAATGTAGAATCAAACAAATTTTAGGTAGCCTTTAACACAATTATTTATACTAGGGTCGGGGTATTTTTAATCGGTTCGTTTTGTGCTTTTTGTAATATTCATTCAAAATAATTTTGTCCAAAATAATTTTGTCGATTATCCCATCACTAAACGATGTCGTGGAAAATTATTGATAACAAAGTCATTTATTTTACTGAAAATGTTTACAAGATACTTTGAACTTTGTTTTTGATCATCTTATTGTTTACTCTTTAGTGTTTTTTAAAAGATTAACTGAACGACTCTGCATAATCAGAATGTATTTAAGGATATTATTATAAAGAATCATTTTATAGATATGATATGTCTGCTTGATTTTGATTTACCAAAATGTTATTGCCTTATTGAAAAGCTTCCTTTTTTCTTCGCCTTGCATTTGGCCTTCCGTTGTGACATTTGGCAATGTGACCACAACAGGTAATAGAATATTTTTATGCGACTCGTTACGTTTCAGAGTATTATACGGCTAATTAAAGGATTTTACATTGCTAAAAAAGAATAATAGGAATGACCACCTAAAAGCATATTTTTAGAAATATTGATCTATCTGTTTCATGTTGTGATATCCCAGGTTATATGTTAAGGTCAAACTAAGAACATTGTTAGAAAAAAGCATTTAATATAACCAAACATAAAATATTACCTTTATGAGACCAAAGTGTTACATGCCAAACAATAAGCCCTTGAAGCAAAGGTCATAGTCACAGGCAGAGGTCAAAGGTCAGATAAAACAAATTTATGTATGTATTAATTATTTATTCATCATGTTACTGAGACTTACATAATTCACCCACAATATAATTGGATTCCGTTGGAAAAGAAAATGAAAATATGGAATAAAGATATTTAAAAGGTAGTTTTTTTTTAAACACAATTACATGTATCTATACTAGGGTTTCTTTGCTTGGGTGTTTTTATCGGTTTTCAGTCTATGCGTTTGTAATATTCATTTCAAAACAATTTTGTCCAAGATCCACTTTGTCGGATTATCCCATCTCTAAACCCAATTGTCGTGGGAAATTAAATTGATTACAAGTTCAATTATATTTCACTGGATACCTCTGATTTTTTAAACACGATACTTGAATTTTGTTTTTTGATCATCTTATTTTTTTACTCTTTTATGTTTGTTAAAAAGATAACTGAACGGGTCTTTGCCATAATCAGAATGTTTTAAGGATATTTTATTATTATTTAGAATCCATTTTGTAGATAAGTCTGCTTTATATTGAATTTACCAAATGTTATGCTTATTGAAAAGCTTTTCCTTTGTTCTTCGCCTTTGCACTGGCCTTTCCGTTGCTGACATTTGGCACATGAGGCCACAAACAAGTAATTAAGTTGAAATATTTTTATGCGCAACTCATTCTGTCAGAAGTATTTATAACGATTAATAAAGGTTTTACAATTGCTAAAAAATTAATATTAGGAATGACCCACCTAAAAAGCATCTTGTATAGAATTATTGATTCTTCCGTTCAATAGGTACATCATGTGATATCCAGATCATAGGTTAAGGGTCAAACTTATGAGATTCGTAAGAAAGAAAGCAATTTTTAATAAAATCAGGCCATAAAAGATTACCTTTATTGCAGACTTGTTTCGCCCTGGGAAGCACAGGCAGGGGTCAAAGGTCAGATAAAACAAATTTATGTATGTATTCATTATTTAGTCATCAGTATACTGAGAAATACTTATTCACAAACAATAGGATTTTGTTTTTGAGTGACAGGCAAATAGCAAAAGTTGTAACAATTGCACATTTGTTTAAGATAATTCAATGGTTATAGTTTGGTCATGGAGTTAACGACAGTTGCCTGTTGTTTAGTATTAAACATATTTTGAAAAATTTTGATTATAATTGTTATAATTATTTTATCAGCATTTTCATTAATTTTACTTATTTGAATAATTGTATTTCGCGAAAAAAAGTATTGTAGTAAAGCATTAATTGCGCAATTGAATTTACAATTTGCATTTGCTTCAAGCAATAGTTAGTTTTATTATCGTAGCCAAATTGACATGGTTGATCTGCATATGTTTTTAATGTCTAGCGGCCAAATAGTTCATTCTGTATGTATTAAGACTTTGTTAAAGGAAATTCGATGTTCTTTTAATGGAGTTTGTTGTGATATAACAAGTTTAGTGTTTAGCATATTAATGTTCTTTTTTTAATAATTGAAAAATGAACCTCAAACTTGTAAAAACAAAGATTATCCTTAGATTTTTCTGACATTTGGATA